AAATATAAACTTTTACGTAAATCTAAAACTAGGAGAAATCAGAATCTACATTCTCACAACGTTCTAATACATGTAGAAACTGATTTCATATACTTTTACACAGTTCTACCTTTAGTATAATCTGAATTCTACGGATAAATATTATTCAATCCGAAAATATAGCAAGAATATATTAGGAAATATTCGGTTTCCATATTTAAAATTCAATTTTTTTTTAAAAAAAGTTATTTATTATTTTTTTAATTTTTTTTACTATGGACGAGGTGTATATATGGAAACCCTTCCGAAATTTTTTCAATCTGATGGAGTATTACTGTGGACGAGGTGTATAATTTTAGTTTATTAAAATTATTTTTTTAAAAAAATTTATTAAAAAATTAAAAAAAATATTTATTATATTTACACCCATCCGAAATATAGCAAGGATATAATTTTTTAATCCTTTTAGAATAATATTATATTTTAATATTTATTAAAAAAAATTATTTTTTATAATTATAATTAACCTAATTATAAATTAATAACTAAAACTATATAATTTAACGGTAAGATTGTTATTTAGAAAATATTTAGCCTAATGAGACAATAAATAAATCAAATTAACTTAATGAAACAATGTACAAAGCTATTGGCTTAAAAAAAACTATTTTGTCTTAAATTTTTTATTACTAGATGGAGTTTCACATTCCTGTTCCACGCGACGTAGTTCTCTCCAATTATTTTGAGAGCTGGAAATTGAAGAGGCTCATAATATACTACTATTTGATTTTTGAAACACATAGTAAACTTTATTTGAATTTAAGGATCTTTGAAATAAAGGGTTTACCTTTATTGTACAATCAATTACACGAAAAAATATCATATAAAAAAAGTAAACTGATATTTATGTCAAACTCTTCTAAAGTAAATTCTCTAACAAAGAGACGATACATAGAAACATAAATTACAATCTCACATAAGATTTTAAAAAAAAATAAGCGAATAATCTTTCTTGCAATGGAAAATAAGAAGAGAGTGATTTGAAATTTTTTTGACTGAAGATGATTGTTTAGATGAAGTGAATAGGTGACAAATAATTGTATTCATAGATTTTGATTAAAAATATATTGTATTTATAGATTAAAAATATATATCCGTTTGAAAAAAAAGTGAACATTTTGCAAACTTTTCTTTGCGACCATTGGCATTAAAGAGTTTGAACCAAAAATCAATCTAAAAAATATTTTAATGTATACGCACAAAAGCCGAAGCATGCTTATGGGCTCTTTTTTGGGTGGTCAAATGTTTACACAATTTACGCTTCTCAAATATTATTTTTGAAACGGTCTTGGAATGTCTGCATGATGTACTCACAAAGCCCGATGATCACCCTGGTTTCAGCCATATTCGCCACAACATATCTTTTCTCCTGGTAAATATAGATTCATAGTGTCTGGAACATGTTCTCTCGATCCGTANTTGAAACGGTCTTGGAATGTCTGCATGATGTACTCACAAAGCCCGATGATCACCCTGGTTTCAGCCATATTCGCCACAACATATCTTTTCTCCTGGTAAATATAGATTCATAGTGTCTGGAACATGTTCTCTCGATCCGTAATGAAGCAGCAGCAGCAATTGCGGAAAGTGTCACTCGCGATTCGCGTCACCAATCGTACATTGCCCGAAACGCTCCGGTGTGGCTCCATCATCTTTTTGCTTTAGAGACTCAGTAATAAGGGGATTTGGTGAGGTTCTTTGCATCTTTTGGGGGTCTACTGACATCCCTTGTACTCATTTTCCTTTTCATTTATGTATCGTTATGTCTTTTAAAACTTTATAAAAAAATATATATTTTTTAATAAGAAATCAATCAAATCCCATAATTTAATAATATTTATACATGTAACTGATCACAATAGTATTATGATGATAAAATTATCTATGTTTTAATATTAACTAGATTTTGACCCGCGCAACCGCGCGGGTGTTTGTTTTCTTTTATAGTTAGTTATATAAAAATTTTGTTTTCACTTGTAAATTGGTATATATTATAGTAATCACATATTTACGATATCTATAGTAAATGTTTTTCAAACATAATAATATTATATAATAAGTGTTTTAATCAAAAAGATTGTTTCAAATTTTCTATA